TATTAATAATACTTTTAAAAAATATAAAATGTTGAAGATAAAATATTTATTAAAAGTTTAAATTATGTAAGTAGTTTTACAGGAAAAACATATACAATTTCTATTTTAATTATATCTTTAAATTTTTATTAAAATAATTAAATGTAATTGTTATATATAATTATTTTTGATCGTATAATAATATCATTTATGAATAAATAATTCATTTGTTGATTTAATATTATTTTAAAGTAATAAAATTAAATTATGTTCCAAAAATAATATAGTAATATAGTACAACTTTTAAATTCATAATCTTTTGGAATAAAATATTGAGAATAAAAAAGAGATTGAAAAATTAATAAAACACAATATAAAAAATATAGATATTAATAATAATAAAAATAATTAGTATTAAAATATATTATTTATTTATTAAATTAATAATAATCTTATTTTATTTATTAAATCATGATACAATATATATTTGTTTTATAATATAATAGATTTTGATTTTTTATTGGCTAAGTAATATTCGATGTAGAATTTGAAGATTTTATTCATAGAAAAATATGAATTAATATGAAAAATAACATAATATTAACAATTAAATAATTATATCATAGTTGTAAATATGCAATATTTATATATTCATGCAATTATATTTGCATAACTAATTTTCTTTAAAAGATTATTTATGAAAGTATTTATAATTCATATTTAAATTATAATTCATATTTTAAATAATTTTTTTCGCAAATACATATTTTTATTTTTATAGATTATAGATCTATCAGAAATAACCAATCAAATTTGCATTCTTTTCGAATGTTTTGAGCTCTAACAGTTATATCGTTTAAGCAAGTTTAATCATTTTGTGACTGTCAATATCAATATTTCTATTATATCTAAAAAATATGTACTTGCATACTAGAATATCAAATTTTATATTTGATTTTCGTAAATGAAAAAATTAATTTTCTAAATTGATAATTTTTTAGTACAAATATTAGTTAGAATTGAATATATTTATGTATATATTTACGTATTTTATAAAAATTTTGGTTAATATAATTATATATCAATATTTACGATGTTAATTATGCAGAAGATTTTAATAGTGATTACTTTATTATTATTTAATTTTCACGAAGTTATTCCTTTGCAATCTCAATCATTTTCTTCTATTGTTATTATGGCAAATTATACAGCATATCAATTTGCCATAAATATTAATGTTGAATATGTATTTTTATATCCTATTAATAATGTAAGTATAAACATTTTTATACAAATTATATTTTGTATATAATATAACATATATATAACATAATTATAAGTTTTATTTTTAGGTAACTTCAATGGAAACTGTAAGAATAGAAGTTGAAAGCAATGCTACAAGTAATCTACCTCTTATAGTAGTTGTTCGTCAAAAAAAAGAATTCTTATCATGGCAAATCCCTCTTATAGTGAAGAGTATGTATTTTAATAATTCAGAATATAATAAAACAAGTAGAACTCTATGTTCAACCAATTATAATCTCAATGGATTAAAACAGGAAAAAGAATTTATGATTATTAGTATATCCACTACTAATCATCAAAATATTTCATTTATACTTAATGTGACAAAAGAACATAATTTTTATTTAAGGTATTTTACATTTTAATAAATATAGATAAGCAATAGAAATTTATTGTTATATCTTAGAATTGAATTATAAAATAAAATAAAGGAAATTAATAATAATTATTTTCATTTTCTTCAGTACTGGAGAAAACAAAACTGTAGAAATTTCACCATCTCAACCTATTTATTATGGTTATACTTTCTCAGGACAAGTAGAAAATTCTTCTGTAATTGTTCATGTCAAGTCTGATAGTGATATTTGTATGACTGTTTCAATACAAAATATATCAGTAAGTCTAAATTTTATATCTAATTGTCATATTCATGTTTTATATATATATATATATATATATATATATATTTATATATAATATAATATATATTTTATATATAATGTCATATTTTATGACATTAATATCTTTTTTTAGTGTCCTGTGTTTGATTTAGAGAGAAATATTGAATTTTCTGGATATTGGCAAACTATAATTCGACAGGGTGGTATAACTGTGCCAGTAAATATTTTTTATATTAAAATGTATCTTTTAATATATTTTATATATTACATAGAGCTAGTTATTTTAATTAAATTTAATTAAAGTTTAATTATTATCTTTTAGAAAGAAGAATTTCCATTAGGCTTCTTTGTGGTACTTGTAGTAAAAAGTGATGATACTGATTGTTATGGAACTCCTACTATGATTCCTTCACGGAATAAACAAGTGATATTAACAATAAATGCTAGTATTACCAAAAGAGATTATATTATTGCTTCAGGAATAGTTGTATGTGTTATTTTTAGTTTTTGTATTACCTATGTTGTGAGCACTGTGATATCAAAAATTAAAAGAGATAGACAAATGAAAGAAGAGATATTAAATCAAGAATCAGAACATATTAATGAACCTATACCAAGTCCTTCAACAATAGAAGAGGTAAAACAAAAACTTATTTTTTTTTTTAAAATACTATTTTTTAATCAATTGTATTAATTATATTACAGTCAGGACCAGTATCTATAGATGATGATTCTTCACTGGATGAGGATGATATTGATATGATGGAAGATGCTCTTTCTGATAAGGAAATAATACGAACAAAACTTGTACTTTCTGTTTGTGATTTGGCTCGTAAAGATCCAAAAATTCTTAGACATAAATCTAGATTATATTTATATTATTTGATAACGGTCGCTATTTTTTATACTTTACCTGCAGTACAGCTGTTAATTACATATCAGCATGTACTTCATGTTACTGGCAATCAAGATATGTGTTATTATAATTTTTTATGTGCTCATCCATTTCAAGCTTTATCAGATTTTAATCATGTATTTTCAAATATTGGATATATTATGTTAGGTTTTCTATTTATATTTTTAACATCTTTCCGAGAACATAATGAATTTGATAAAGAAAAAAATAAATGTTATGGCATACCACAACATTATGGATTATTTTATGCAATGGGTACTGCACTTATTATGGAAGGAATACTCTCAGGAAGTTATCATGTATGTCCAAATCGAAGTAATTTTCAATTTGGTAAGATAACAATTATTTTATATTAAAATATTATGACTTTTTTTATATTATTAATGACAAAGATTAATCATTTAGATTCAAGTTTTATGTACATCATAACAGTATTATGCATGATTAAAATTTATCAAACTCGTCACCCTGATATAAATGCTCGGGCATCAGTTACATTTGCAATGTTAGCATTCATTATTTTCATAAACTTGATGGGAGTTTTGAATGGCTCAATATATTTTTGGATTTTATTTACAATCACACATCTATTAACTTGTCTTTTTATGACCATTCAAATTTATTATATGGGACGATGGAAATTTAGAGCTTTGTTAACAAGAGTACTACAGGTAATTTTATATATTTAATGAATCTAATATTTTTAGTTTTGACCTGATTATTTGTTAGGCACAATTTATCACTAATTTTATAATTTTCTAGAACTGTAAACATGACGCCCGTTCTGGAATTAGATATTTATTTCGACCTTTGTATATAGGACGCTTTTTTATGCTTGTTATAGCAAATTTATGGAACATTGCTCTCGCAGTAATTGGAAATATATATCAAGAAAAAAATTTTGCCACGTTTCTATTAGCCATATTAATGTCTAATTTAATTTTATATACTACTTTTTATATTATTATGAAGGTATATATATACATATATATATATATATACGAATAATTATATCTATATTTATTATTCTTATATTACGAATTAATATATTTTTAACATTTCAGATTTGTCATAAAGAACGAATTCTACTTCAACCATGTATTTATATTGTTTTATCAATTATATTTTGGGCCGCTGCTTTATATTTTTTTATAAACAAAACCATTTCATGGGAACTTACTCCAGCTCAATCACGTCATTATAATAAACCCTGCGAATTCTTACACTTTTTTGATAGTCATGACATTTGGCATTTTCTATCTGCTTTAGCAATGTTTTTTTCATTTATGGTACTGCTTACTCTAGATGATGATTTAATAGATGTACATCGAAGTCAGATACCAGTCTTTTAAGGACAATGATGATAATAAACGAAGAGAATATTGAGAATTTTTTTTATGTCTCTAACGATATGACTGCATGTAATATACATTTGAACTTGATATCAATGAATTAAAAATAGTATAAAATATATGTGTATAAAGATCATTTAGCAACTATTTTATATTAAATGCCTTATTTTCGTTAAATATTCAAGTTCATAAAATTTTTTATTATCTATCCCTTTATTTATATTAAATTATTCCTAGAGAGTAAAGAATTTTTGATATTTTTTATCACGATTGAAAAAATAGTACTTAATACTTTAAAATTACTTATCGAGTTTTTTTTATCGACAAACATGAAAAATATCGATGTACACATTAGTCGTTCGATAAAAATAAACGTAATGAACAAACTTTTTCCTAAAAAGAAATATATATATAATAATTATATATATTTTTATATAACATATAAAAATATATATATATATATATA